CATAAATAACAAGCAATTGAAACAGACTCTTAGAGCCTGTTTGGCTCAGCTTAAAAGCTGGTCAAACTGACTTAAAAGCTGGTTTTTGACTTATTTAACTGTTTGGCAATACTCAAAATAGCTTATTTTAAGTTAAAAAAACTTATTTTAAGCCAAAAGTTAAAAGCTGCGGTAGGGGTGCCTTTTTTTTTAGGTTATAAGCTGTTTTAAGTTGACCACATTTTTATGTTTTTTCCCTTAATATTTTTATACAATCTCCAAATTACCCATATAACCCTAACATCTCTTTCTTCTATTTTTCCCTTTTCACGTTTGGCATAACAACTTCAGCACTTTTATCCAAACGCATAACTGCTTATTTTAAAAATAAGTTTTAACACTTTTAAAAGTACTTTTTTAAAGCTGCTTTTATTAAGCCCATCCAAACGGGCCCTTATTCTATCTATTCAATTCATGATATGATAAGAACTTAATTTTATATGCTTATGTGGTTCTCTTTTTAGCTTTTGAACATGTGTTTGGTATCAAAAGATTTCTCCAGAACTAGGTCTTGTGTTGAATAATAAAGAGCATGATTTATGTAAAAATCATTGTCATTCGGACAGGGCGCCATACACATTTTCTTCCAGAATAATCCAATACTAGCTAGGTGTCCTGTTTTTGATTTGACAGATTAGGAGATTTTAGACTTTATGTGTAAAATAATTTGTGTACTTATTACTTTGCGAAAGAAAAAAAAGAAGAAATTCGAGTCATCAATTTACGGCTAATACGTTAGATTTTCCGTACGTATCAGCTGGCTTAAATTTTATTTAAGCCATTTGGCATTTTACCTTAAAGAATTAATTACTCAAAGTGGATTCCTATTAAAAATAATTACTTATTTTAAATATATTGTTTAATTATTATTATTTATAGCAATATATAATAATACTATATATTTCATTTAATTTGTCTTTCTCTCTCGCCTCATTTTTCCTTTTCTCTTTTGCCTTTTTTTACTTTTATCTCTCTTTCTCGCTCTTTCTTTCTTTTGCTCTTTCTCTTCTGTTTTTCTTTCTTTTTACTATTGTTTTTTTTTTCTTGTTTCTCTTACTTTGTTTTTTTTTTCGTTTTCTCTCTATTTTCTTTCATAGAGTAATTATTGATTTTTAGATTAAAAAAAATTAAATAAAAATTAATTAATTAGGCAAGTAATCTAATTGCAATGAATGAATAGACTTAATAAATTACAAAATGAATTAAACTTACATTAAAAATGAATTCCACAAATATTAAAGTTGACTTAGAATATAATTAAATATGAATGCAAAATGTAGCAAACAAAAGAGCATTCTATGATCTCTAAACTGAATAAATTTGTATCAACAATGAATTTCACAAGTAATTCAATCATAACAAACCAATCAATAAGTTGCAACATAAATTAAAATTGTATTTCACAAATATTAAAACAAATAAATAAATTAAATTTGCTTTAAAATTGTATTACACAATATTATAGTTGAATTAGAAGAGAAAATAAAGAACGAATGAAAAACATAACCAACAAAAGAAAAGACATCAATCTATAAACCGAATTAAACTTGTATAATTCATGAAATAATCATGTATTATATGTATTTTATAAACTATTTTGGGTTTGTATCACTAGGAATGTAAGTGATGTTTGTAATATGTATTAAAAATGTATTTTGCATATAGCATAAGTGTGTTACCTAAATTATTTTTGTTGATACATTAGAAGGGTAGTGAAATTTGCAATATGTATTATCAATATAGGATGTATGTGGTCATGATTTTAAAACAATTTTAATATAATTATAAACATATCTAATACGACTTCAATACAAACCCGATATAGTTACACAAACTTCATAATTTTCGAGCTTCAACATAGCATTTCTCCTAAAATCAATTCTAAACTTAGCCAAACGTTTTTAAAATTGAGATATAAACTCCAAAAGATATTTTCAATTATTTGTAGGAACAACCTATCCAAACTAATCGCAAACGAAATAGCAAACAAGTAAACTAATCATAACAAATAAAGAAACATAATAAACTGCTGAATGAATTAAATTTGAATTAAAAATGTATTACACATATTAAAGTTGAATAAGAAGCGAATTAAACATGAATGCAAATGTAGCAAACTAAAGAGTATTATATGATTTGTAAACTAAATAAAACTTATATCAATAATGAAATAATCAAGTAATTTAATCCTAGCAAATCAACCAATAAACTCCAAAATGAATTAACTTGTATTAAAAGTGAATTACACAAATATCAAAGTTGAATTAGAAAAGAGAATTAAACATGAATAGAAAATTTAACTAATGAAAGACTAGTCAATGATCTACGGAGTGAATTAAACTTATTTCAATAATGACTTAAGCAAGTTATCCAATAGTAACAAATAATAAACTACAAAATGAATTAAATTTGCATTAAAAATGTATACACAATATTAAAGTTGAATCAGAAGAGAAAATTAAAAATAAATGAAAAAATGTAACTAATGAAAGTCAAGACAATTATCTCAATACTGAATTAAACTTGTATTATTCATGAATAAAACATGTATTATATGTGTCTTATAAATTATTTTGATATGTATCACTAAGAACATGAGAGATGTTTGCATATGTATTAAAAATGTATTGTGCATGTATTATAAATGTATTATTAAGTTTTTTACCTAAATCATTTGGCTGGTATCACTAAGAAGAGAGTAAAGTTTGCAATATATATTATAAATGTACTGTTCATGATATTAATACAATTTTAATACAATTATAAAACATATCTAATTCAATTTTAATACAATTGCGATACAGTTCCATAAACTTTACCATTTTCCAGTTTCAATCTTATATTTCTCCTATAATCAATTATAAATTTAACCAAACTTTCTTAAAATTGAGATATAAACTTCAAACTGCATGTTCAATTATTTGTAGGATCAATCTATCCAAACTAATCATGAGTTCGTAAGATTCATAAAATGAATTTAAAATTTGGAACTTTATAATGATCATCAATGGTGAATTCTTGGTGCTGTAATAGTAGAGATTTGAAAAGTTTGTTTGAGAACATAATTTGGTGTCATTTTATTTCTTATTTCCATTGAAAAATCCATTTTAAAATCACAAAATCAAATCGAACCAAATTAATTTGGTTCGACATTTGATACATACTTATTCAAAACCAAAAATCAAACTAAAATTTGATAAAACCTAATTGAAGAACCAAATTCATTAGGTTTTGTCCGTGTACAAAAATTAAATATTTGGTGTTGCCTAATTTTATAGTAATTACACTTGTTTTATAGGTTCATTGGCAGATTTTGAAAGGATTTGAGATTCGGCTATTTTGGGATAAGATAAGCAGGGGTTTTGTTCCCAGCAGAAAAACATATTTTGATCAAAGCTGCTTATTTTTTCTAATTAAAGAAAAAAAAACTTTAATATTATTTTGAGATATATTTATGAATGAGACTCTGGCACCAAACAGATAAACACTATTGTCAGTTTGTTGTGTTGCATGTATCTACTATTTGAGGTTCCCTTTTGGTTATATTACTATTTGATTTTGTATTTGTTTGCTACTTCGTATAGAATATTTCGTATCCTTAGTTCATTATCTGTATAAGAATATATTTAGTATAATTTCACAATTGAGATCTGGGGAGGTCTCTTAGCCCTACCTCATAGAGATAAAAGATATTGTTTTTAGAAGATCCTCGACAAAATATTTTCTAAATAATTTAGAAATGGATAACATAAATTAAACAGTTACAACAATGAAATTATATGAAATGAAGAGAAATTTACAATAAGCTGAAGAAAGAACAAAACAACAATAAAACAATGTAATAACAAAGCACAAGGAAAAGTAATAATCGAAATTGAAGAACAAAAAATTACAAAAGTAGTGTTAAATACTATTGGAAGAAAGAAGGTCCAAGTGCGACCGCAAACCTGTTTCGCAGAAAAGCAAGAGAATGCTCAACTACTAACTAACCTTCTACCTCAATCCATCACATCAAAATCCTCTTATGTAAGGTCATGTTCAATAACCTAAAGATGCATACTGCCTTGTCTAATCACCTCTCCCTATACTTCTTCGACGTGCTTCTAACTCTCTAGACACCCAGGCCACCCCCCAATTGGCAAACTCTTATATCTTTCACTGCTTCTACACTTCTCTTTTTCACATATTCGAACCATCTCAATCCACTTTCTTTATCTTGTCTGCTATGGGGTCGCTCATACCTTGTCCTGAATATCTTCATTCCTAATCTTATATCTCCTAGTACATCCACACATGCACCTCAACATCCTCATCTTAGCAACTTCCATTTTCTGATCATGAGAGTTCTTGACTGGCTGACGCACCACCACCTAAAACATAGTCTTTCTAACCATCATTCTATAAAACTTACTTCTAAAATTTGGTGGTACCTTCTTATCACATAAAACTCGGGAGAAAAGCCTCCATTTTACCCATTCTACACCAATATACTGTGTGACTGAGCATCAAACTTCACTTCCACGCCGACCTCATGTGTAAGGCCACTGAACTTACACTGTTCACTCTAAGTATTCAATCTTCGACCCTGCCGTAAGCATTGTCAATCAGTACTCTATCTGTGAATTACACACACCATGACTTCACCTTATACATGCAATACGTCCATTCATCTATAACTAGTGTGGGAAGCCGACCCCTAGTGCAATCCCATAAGTATTGAGGAAGAGCTTCGAGTATCCCCCACAGTCCTCATCCTAATCTTAACTCCATGGTACATGTCCTCCATCCCACTAATGTAACAAAAATATTGTCTTCAAATTGAAAAAGAAAAACCAAATTATTTCTTGAATTATCATTATTTGACAGGTATGACTTCCCTATTTTCCAAGGTGAAGATAAAATTCTGGAAAAGAAAAAAACTAAATCAGGTAAGATCCTCAACAGTTTGAGCAAAGCAGTTGCTTCATATGGCTTTAGCATAAAAGAAGAACAGCCATGAAGATACCAAAAAGTTCTTTTCCCTTTGCCTGGATAAGATAACCATGAAGGCATTGGCTAAGAACAAAGCTGGTCTCATTTCTCATTGGCTTACTGATGATTTTCCAATGCTCATTAGAACTTCTCCTGATCTCTACACATAATTAAACCACCTTCCATCATCAATCAACTGATTCTGAGAGCGCAACCCGGCAAAGTTGTTCATTTGTTGGCAATTTAAGTCGCGATATTAGAGTATATGGCAACTGAACTAGTCCCAATGGCAAAGATGATCACCAGTACAGCCAACATCTTTTCCCGAGTTGTAGATATGTTGTGAGCATCTCTGAGAAAAAACATCATAGCAGCAAGTGAGTGGAAAGTTTGATAAAAATAACTCCGCAACTTATATAGAGATTTCTGTCATTTCAAAGAGAACAATGCTCTCTGTTTTCTGTTGAAGAATAGGGGCAGATATTGTAACAAGGATAAAGTTTCTTTATATGAAACCAAGATTGAAGTAGCTCACCTAAGAACTATTGAGCTCGGGAATATGAACATGATGCACATGACTGTTGTCGTTCCCATGAACTGAAAGAAGTACCAAATATTTGGAAAGGCTACAGCACCTCCGTAAATGAATGCAAGTAAAATACAGGTAAGGGAAAAGAATCTTAATGTTTCTGAGGCCAACAGAGGTCTTTTAGGAAAGAATAGTTCATCAACGTTAACCCTCAGAGAATAATTCATCACAGGAAACACCAGCATGAGATGAATGGCATAGCTCAATCGAACAATATCGTTAAGTGCTGTACCAATTAAAGAGTCAGAGGCTTGATCAAAGTTAACCAGCATGTCAGCCATGATCGAGTCCCCAAACAATAGGTACCCAAAGAATCCCACAGCAAAGTAAATGACAACACATAATACCAAGGAAATGCGAACAGCAGACGTCATGTCAGAGGGCCTTCCCAGCTCAGCTCTGATTGGATGAACTGCAAACAGAAACAACCTCTGAGAGTGAATTAACTCATCAAAAGTAAATAAATAGAAGAGGATAGAACAAAAAGTAACAAAGAATGTCACCCAAAATAAAAGGAGAATGACATAATTGTATTCACGAAAGTACGTCTTACCATTAACATGACATCCAAAGGCAGTAGCAAAAACTGGAATTGTTGTGAACAGTTCAGTAAAGGTAACTCCATGTGAGAAATCTGGTACCAGTCGTAACTTTTGTGTTTTTCCCTCCCACATTGCATGTATTGCCATCATTGAGCATATGACAACAAACAGCACAGCTAAAAGGATTGATATTGCCGATGCATGTCTCAATGAATCTGGATGTAACGAACCACAAAATTTATAATCCATTATATGCAGATCTTTACATATACTAAATGAAATATATGCTATTCCACTTTGACAAATATCTTCAATCTATTAGTAACATGCCGGTTATTTGTTCACAGATCCAGCGATTAGGGATGGCAATTGGGGCGGGGTTGGGCAAACTCCTAATGGACAGGACAGGGAAGCACTTAAATGAAGTGGGGCAAGGAAAATTTTAGCAGGGCAGGGAAGGGAGGGGCAATTTACATGTTAAAGCATATCATCACATGTGAATATTAAGTACTTTATCATATAACACCATATATGTTGAAAGAAACTCCTCTGCTAACGGTTAATTCGTTCCTTAAATTTACTGATGTAAAATGAATGCCAAACAATATGCCATCTATTTTCAAACATTATTAAGATTTGATTTTCACTCTGAACATTTCAAAAGCAAAACAATTTGGTTAGTTGACATCTCACTTTTGCAGTGAAATAACAAGAAATATTAATTTATTCCAAAGAGGTTACTGTTGCAGCGAAATACTCCAACAAGAAAGAATAATTTATTCCACATAGGTTGCTTTTGACTTTCTAAGGATAAAACAGATCTTCAATTCAGCTAAATCATTGAATTAGGATTAGAAAATATATATATATCAATAGTCGTTTAAACAGGGCCGGGGCGGGGCAATTGTTTGAAAAATGCTACACGGGACAGGGTGGGTCAATCTCTTAGTTGCCCCTCCCTATTGCCATCCCTACCGGTGATAGGACAAACGCTCTATATATCATTCTAATGGAGTAGAATGTCAATACCTACTTTTCCTTCTAAGGTACAATATAAGCTGAATAATACTAACAATTGTACTTTATAAAGCTAGTTTTGTGATTAGTCATCAGCCTACATCCAACTATACTTTATGAAGCTTATGGGAAAAAGAGAATGCTTTGTAAAGTAGAGAATCAATAGATAGAAATTCTGAGATTATGACTGAACCAACCTATGCGCTTTAAAGAGAGCAATGGAAGCATGACAAAAACCACAACAACGAGAACTGAAAATGCCCGTGAGGTCCACCAGTGGATGCCAAACCATTCCTGTAGAGTACCCAAGTGCACTGATCCATCAGAATTATTTCCTGACAGGACATCCCCTGTCAATTGAATAAATTAGTGATGATAACACCAGCCAAATAGGAACTAGCTTTAAACAAGTAACTTACCAATAATAATCAAGTAAATAATCAAGGCACCAAGATTAGTGATGATAACACAAATCTGAAGAGCAACAGAACCAAACTTTCCAAAAGACTCAGCCATAAGGCCACCATAAGAATCCGACTCTCCCGAATGTGTATATTTCAATAGGAAATCCACCGTCACCTCAACAAAGTATCCCACAAGTAGGATAACAAAAAAGCTTGGAATAACACCAAGAACCTTAAAAGTAGCAGGAATAGACATAATCCCAGCACCAACCATGCCCGTCGAGATATTAAATATAGCACCAGAAATTGATCCTCCTTCCCCTGACCTTTCATTCTGTTCCACCGGTAAAAGAGGAGCAAGACACACACAATCCTGCTTCTCCGTTGTCATTCTGATCGAAAAAAAAAAACGAATTTTAGAAACACAAATGCCTTGGATCAAAAATCAAAACTTTGTTATTGAGATTGGTCAGATAGATAGATACAAAACAGAAGTTGGGGGAACAATAATGGTGGGGTGGGTGTAGATTCGTTGTTCTTACTCTAATAATGATGATTAGGAAAACCCCTAAAATATGAACAACAATTTTTTTAATGGATAAAAGTGCGCATGTGATCTTTGACAGCGCCACCATTTTCTTTCGTGTCAAACTTTTGACAAACACGTTGAAAATCAGATCTTCCGGAATAGTATCACTCTCATTATTTATTTTTATATTTGTGAAATTTTCTAAATTATTTTTTTTCTCTTTATAATAGTAACTAAAAAAAATTCTATATTTATCTTTTCTCTTTGACGAAATTTGATATAAGCTAAACTACTTAAAATTTAAGATTTGATAAAGAATAATATTAAAAAGTATGATCTAATGTATTTCACAAATTTTCAATTAATATAGAATAAGATAGAGGGCAGTATTAACTTTTATCCATTTTTCAACACATTACGTATGTGGTTCTAATATTACTTTCCAAGAATGGATATATCTCAAACACTCCCTCAAGTATGGGTTCAATGATGGGTCTTAAATACGTACTGGTCCCAAAATGACCTGTTCGATATATATAGGAAAAAGAGTTATTTTCCCAAATAGTAATCATATAAGTTGACAGAGTTGTCTTAAAATATTAGTTATGTTTTATTTAGCATAAAAATATCATTTAATTATCACTATTTCCTTTAAATATATTTGACAGTTTAAAATTATCACTCTATCCTAGTTAGCATGACGTGTGATTAAAGTCTTCTTTTTTTAAATAATAGACTAATTTAATTCATTGAACCTATTTATCTAAAATAATGACATATTATTTTTAATTTTTTTTTAATCTATTAAGAATAAATTTTCATACTTAATTTTTTTTTATCATAATTAAACTTTTTGCTTTTTTATGTAATGGAGAATACATTTTTAAAATGTACAATAATTTTATCAATTTTGAATAAACACATACATTCAAAAAAATATTGATATACAAATCAATCATTAACGCCAATTTACATCAACTAATCATAAGTTGTATAATAAATCAATAATAATAAAGGTCATGTTATAAATCCATTGAATTAGTGGATAGTCCATAAAGTTGGTACATGAACAATCATCCATATTCACTAGGTTTCATGAACCTTTTTCGATAAGAATGTATCTATTTATTATGATACTTAATATGATGACTTTTGGAGTGATTTCTCACTCTATAAATAGGGTTGTTCATTCACTATTGTATGATATACACATGAGACTTAAATACATTTGAATAAGAAGGAAATTCCTCTTCTTCTATCTAATTCTTTTGTCTTCTTCTCTTTATGATTATGTTCGTATGAGCTTGATTTTATAACATGTCATCAGCACGAGTCTCTATCCAATTGAGAGTGAGTTCTTATTTTTCTTTAGCTCATATTTTGGTTGATCTCGTTGTGAAGATCAAAGAATTATATGTATAAAATCATGTATGTATTTTCTAAAATATTTTATGATTTAGAATGAAATAGTATTCAGTCACTAACACTTATCAAGAACCGAAGACATATACTACTATTGGTTGAATATGACATGCTATACAAAACTTTTTAAATGGAAGAAGGTATAAAATTTTAATAGCATGAGTTTGAATATTATTTTGATTGTTTTGAAAGACTCAAAGAATAAATCATGTTGTACTTCGGTCTATTATACCGTTGGTTAAGGGTAAGATCATTGATTTCTTTCTGAATTTGATATAACTTGGCACCATTGGTTTGATCATAACGATCCTCCAAATCAGTCCACAATTCCAAAGCACTATCAACATATGCTACACTATCAACAATATCTCGGTTTAATGAGTTTAAAATTCAGGATGTAATCATATTATCACACCTCTCCCATTGTTTGTAGTTTGGATCTGTAGTAAGTGGTTTCTTAGAATCTCTATTAATGAAACCCAATTTATTCTTTATCGATAAGGATCTGATCATGCCTCTTTTCCAGGTTCGATAACCAATTCCATCAAAAACAACTGGTACAAGAGTTGAGCCTGGATTGTCTGATGGATGTAGGTATAACACACTTCCTATTTCAATTCCCTTAGTTACTTCTAGATTAGTCAGTTCTACCATTGTAGTGCAACAGAATCAATTAACAAAAGAAGGGATGAAAATGTGCAAGAAGGCAATAGAAAACTGAAGAACAACTGAAATCAAAAGTAAAACCAGGTAAATCTGAGAGATCTGATCTTCACAAGAAGAACAGAGACGAAAACAAACAGAGAGAGATCTGATCTTCACGAGTAGAACAGAGACGAAGACAAGCAGGAATGATCGATCGATGGCTCTGATACCATGTTAAAACTGAAAATCATGATAAACCACCATTAATGGTGGCTGCAACTAAGAGTGGTAGCGGAACCGGTACCTACCGGTTCCCGGTCCGGTCCGTCCCGGTCCGATTCGGTACCGGTTAGTACCTGTTAGGGTTTGGGTTTTCCCTAACAGGTACTAATACCCTAAAGTTTTAAAAATTACACTTTAACCCATTTTTTTACTTATAAATACCCCTAAATTTCATTCTTTTAAATCACAATTCACAATATCATCTATTCATCTTCTACTCTCTCAAGTCTCAAGTCTCTACTCTCTATCTCTAATCTCTAATTCTATAATATATAATATCTTAAATTTTGGTGTTGCCTTACTTGGTCTTTGGAAATTAGATTTGGAGCTTCAAAATTCAATTTTCAACTTTCCACGTTCGGCTATCGGCGGTCATAAACGTTTACTTTTTTTAAGTAGACGTTCGGTACATTCGTTCTAACTTTTATTTTACGTTTCATTTATATTTAAATAATTATTTATTTA